ATACGGTGTTTTACACCAGAAAACATCTACTAAGAATTAGTATAATAACCATACATATGTGCGATTTAGTACACCCCCAAATAATGGGGTTGAATAACTTTTAAAATATCACCAAATGAATTTTAAAGCGATTGTGTATAATATGGAGTTAATTTATTACACTAGTATGGACAAAAATACAGCAACACCTACACATTACTTTTATGACATCCCATTCTAAATCCATAGGCAAGATTTCCCTTAACAACCCATGAAAACACAGCCCCTACCAAATTTATTAGGACAGGGGTAGCACCTTTGCCCATATAGTGTATTTGGATGGAAATCTATCTCAAAAGAAAGAAGACTGATGGTCTCTCTGATTGGTCTGACACATGATCAACAATGCTTAAAGTCACTGAAAAGGTTTACAAGCAGTGGGAATCATTTAATATGTAAGGCTTACAATGAATGTCAACCAGGCATTCATAGTCATTGAAATTCTAGGTCACTCTCTTCTGATGAATTTAAACTTCTACGTATATTAAGTGTAGTGGTGGAGTTACCTACAGCCTGTCTCAGAACCAACATAATGCCTTATTGTCTTGCTCAGATTTTTATTATTTGGTCATTTGTCCTTGCTTTTTGTGCTTCTACCATAGGTATTTAGGCTATGTAGTTAAAAGGCTTCTGTTTTATTTGCCTTAATTGTGTTTATTGAGTTTATTTTGTGTTACATGCCACTTGTTTCAGGGATACTATAATTTAACAGTGGTGAGAACTTCTCTCAGGCTTACCAATATTGTAAATATGCTATACAAACTGGCATCCATTTCTTTTAAGCGTATTGTTGAAACCCAAAATGTAGAGTGGCCATTATAGTGCAGTATACAGTAAATTGAGGGTCAAAGTTAAGAGAAAAGAGAGCAAGAAACTTTCAGTTTATGAGCGTGTGTCTTCAGGAGCATGTGCACCATACACAAATGAGTTCTTACTGCAGTGGCCCAGTTCAAACCTGTGGCTTATTAGCATGCATCTCCTCTCTCCTGTATTTATTTTCTCTCTTTGGCTGTACCATCATCAGATTTTTATTAGAATTGGGTGTTTGGGCACTTTTACTAAACATATGTCTACATATATTTCTACCGTTTTCTTTTTGTGGTTGTAGGAAACTGTTATGAATTAGCATCCAATGCAGAGTTAAGCTAAATACAAAATCCTGGAGAAAGTGTGAGTGCTGTCTCTGAGAGGTGACCTGGAGCAGGTGAGGGGTGTGAACGTGTGTCTGATTGTCTGCAGTGAGAATCTGTGTCTGATTGTCTGCAGTGTGGGGGAGGGTTTCTTGCGACCAATGATGATCGTTGGGCCTTTGAACTTGAACTACTTAACATTTCACACTTGCACCCAATATTGTGTCTCGCCTAGTCTTGTAAACTTAGTGTCTCTTCAAACCCCAAGTAACCACAGATTATATTTAGTTTAAATTATAAGTTTCTCTTAGAAATTATCAATTTCTTTTTTATTTATTCATGCTGGAGTGTGAGTGTCAATCCATGCTATCTAAGAGGGAACTTGTGTCATTATGTACCAGCCAACAGTGGACATTTTTGTAATGCAAAACAACAAACAAAATGCATTCCGTTACATACAGATTTAAGATACATGTACATTGTAAAATTGATTGAAATCCTGTGATTGTCATAATTGGTCAATATACTGGGAAAATTGGGGGGCTAAATCCTTTCAAAGGGCTGGTGAAAGTTCATAATAAATCTGTTTTTAGCAAATAAAAAAAGAACATTAAGAATCTTCCTGCTGAACATTTACTTCCTAATTGAAATTTATTTATCATGCTTGAGGAATATTTAATGATGTTGGAGTGTGACTGTTGCTCCATAGGATCTAAGAGGGGACATGTGCCCTATGTAGCAACAGTGGATTCCTGTCATTTAATGTGTCATCGGTAATAGTCTTTTTGTCATGGGTAATGTGGGTTACACATTTCTTAGCAAAGGACAGCAGCTTCTCAGGTGGAGGATCAAACTTCAGGCTCTTGAATTTTTAAGTTGGTAAAGTTTTGTGCTTTAATGTTTTGTTTGGAGAAAGGAGGCAAGTTCAGAATAGGGAATGTGTGTGGGTCAAAAAGCGTCAAATACCAGTGAACTAGTTATGAGCAATACTTTTGAATGAAGAACATATTATGAGTTGGAAAAGACTTAATTGAGAGTTATTTGGAAACTATTACTTGTTACATAACAATAGACCTTATTTACAAGTATAACTAAAGATTCTATTTAGGTTACATTATAATTTTCTTTTAAGAATCATACATTTCTTTTTTACTCATCCATGTTGCAGTGTGAGTGTCGATTCATGCTATCTAAGAGGGAACTTGTGTCATTATATACCAGCCAACAGTGGACATTTCTGTAATGCAAATCAACAAACAAAATGCACACCTATAAATATAGATTAAAGAAACAAGTACATTGTAAAATTGATTAAAATCATGTCCTAATTGGTCAATATCATATTTGGAAGATTTGGGGGCTAAACCATTTCAAAGGTCTAGTAAAACTTAATAAATATGTTTTTAGCAATTAATAAAAAATTAATACAAAGTATCTTGCTGCTGACCATGTTGTTCCTACTTTTTATTTATTTATCTTAAAGTACTTATGACTCTCCTGACTTGTGGGCAGCCCTTCATTTTGATGCAGTGTCAAGATTGAAAATGGTTAAGCCATCAACTAAAGCTGAGACATCATATTTCATTACAAAACAATAATAACAAATCATGCTAGAGGAATATTTAATGATGTTGGAGTGTGACTGTTGCTCCATACTATCTAAGAGGGGACATGTGTCGTTATGTAGCAACCAACAGTGGATTCCTGTCATTTAATGCCATACAAGTGTGGACAGCAGCTTCTCAGGTGGAGGATCAAACTTCAGGCTCTTGAAGGTTTAAGTTGGTAAAGTTTTACTTATGACTCCCCAAACTTGTGGGCAGCCCTTCATTATAATACAGTGTCAAGAGTGAAAATGTTTAAGCCATCCATTAAAGCTGAGACTTTATATTTCATTACAAAAACATAACAAATCATGCGGAATAATTATTGATGCTGGATGTTGGAGTGTGACTGTTGCTCCATACTATCTAAGAGGGGACATGTGTCGTTATGTAGCAACCAACAGTGGACTCAGTCATTAAATGCCATACAAGTGTGGACCTTTTTTCTGTAGGCCTAATGCAAACATGAAAATACCATGCATTCCTGATGAAAACCCATCAGGACATCATTTTATTTGGGTTGCCTTTTATCTTACAGTCTGAAGCTTAATACTAGTTAGGAAATCTACTATTGCTGAGCCTTTAAGTTTTGTTTCAAAAGCATATTATCAAATCATGTGTCAACAGACTGCTTAGTTGAGATTATATTTTTCTCATAAGTATTATTGTTTTTGATTCAAAACCAGTCTAAGATTCAGTTATTAAGAGCAAATACAAAGTAACTCTTTAAAATGCATACATCACAGGTCATAAAAATGACCATCCCACACAGAAGAATATGAATTCCCCTAAGAGAAAATTAAAATAAGTGCACTAGTGTAATAAGATATTTTATTATTATTTAAACGGTATTTGAAACCTAGATCAAGTCATTTTTGTTGGTAATACTGTAGTGCTTGATATCAATGCATGCAGCAAAGTTACTTCTGAATTAAAGTTTAAAGTTTATTTATTTTCAGTTAAAGTGATTAAAGTTTGGATCACGGTGAAATGTTTACACATCGCTCACATTAAAGTTAAATTATCCATTTTTGAAAGAAACAAAGAAAGTCTTTGAAGGTAAAAACAGTCATTAGGTGAGAATGAGCACAGACAGTTCCACTGCATAACAATGGAGGTCCCCTCTTGGATAGGTAGCTATCGTTTAAGGATCTAAGTCCCCTCTTGGCAATTTCTTTAAAAAGCAAAAAAAAGCAAATTTGCAGTAATATTATGTTAAAAGACAGTAAAAGTAAATTTTGTATTATATTTATTTTACTTCAAAAGGACTGGAAACACAGGTCCACACTTGGCAGTTTACTCCGACGGTGCACTGTTGGATAGGTACGCGTGTATGTGTGTGTGTGTGTGTGTGTGTGTGTGTGTTAGTGTGTGTGTGTGTGTGTTAGTGTGTGTGTGTGTTAGCAGAGTGTGTGTGTATGTGTGTGTGTGTTAGTGTGTGTTAGCAGAGTGTGTGCGTGTGTGTGTGTGTGTTAGCAGAGTGTGTGTGTGTGTGTGTGTGTATGTGTGTGTGTGTTAGTGTGTGTTAGCAGAGTGTGTGTGTGTATGTGTGTGTGTGTGTGTTAGCAGAGTGTGTGTGTGTATGTGTGTGTGTTAGTGTGTGTTAGCAGAGTGTGTGTGTGTGTGTGTGTGTGTGTTAGTGTGTGTTAGCAGAGTGTGTGTGTGTGTGTGTGTGTGTGTTAGTGTGTGTTAGCAGAGTGTGTGTGTGTGTGTGTGTGTGTGTTAGTGTGTGTTAGCAGAGTGTGTGTGTGTGTGTGTGTGTGTTAGTGTGTGTTAGCAGAGTGTGTGTGTGTGTGTGTGTGTGTTAGTGTGTGTTAGCAGAGTGTGTGTGTGTATGTGTGTGTGTGTGTTAGTGTGTGTTAGCAGAGTGTGTGTGTGTGTGTGTGTGTGTTAGTGTGTGTTAGCAGAGTGTGTGTGTGTGTGTGTGTGTGTGTGTGTGTTAGTGTGAGTACAGTTTTCTCAGGATCAGACAGTAAACTGGTGATTTTTTCTCTCCACATGTTTCCCTCTTTAACCCGGTTAGTCACTGACCCACTTCTGCTGCTGAAGCCCCGCCCCCCAGCGCAAACCACAGCGGTGTGTCGACGACATCATCACCACCGATGACGACCTCGCCGAACCACAGCTCTCCCACACAACCCTCAGATTTGACCTCCTCCCACCATTAGCTTAGCCACAATGCTAGGGCACGGGGGCGAGTCGGCGTGTTTGTGCCTTTGAGACTCACGTTGTTCCTGAAGGAGTGGGCTCTGATTGGATCCTCGGCAGCCAATGAGCAGCTGCTGAGGATGATGAAGACGAGGATGAGGTTGGTGAAGATGTGGTGGTGGATCAGAGTGTGACAGGCCACACGGATACTGGAGAGAGGGAGACAGAGAGAGACTTCCTGTTACTGTACTGTGAGATTCAGGTGTCAACCTGGTTCATAGTAATCGAGACCAGGATCCAGGTCGGCCGGACACGACCAGGAGTAACTGTGCAGACTTTTCCCTGACTTTAGCCTTTAAGGCAGGCAGCCTAAGTTCTCAAGCACCAAGTCTGAGGCCCTATCCACACTACTCCGGAAACATGAAGCAGATGGTCTATAGCCATGTTTCCAACTAATTGTCATGTAAATCTTTTAAGCGTACTTTTGAAATGTTGCAAAAAGAAAAAATTGCGAAGTGTTTCCATCAGGTGGTTTGGAGCGAACAAACCGGGCTGCGGCGAGCGTCGTTACGTCAGTAGTTGACGTTACACATGGCTGTGATAAACAAGACGTCTGGGTTCAAACCAGAAACTAAACCAGGCGCACGAACCTGAGGGCCACTGATCTGAGAGAAACAGAGAGGTCGTCAGCAATGTGTTTCAAGCAGCAAGTTGCTACCAGCCGCGTCTCCGAGCATTATGGGAATATCCGGTGTTATGCAGAGCTCTGCACGCACCTCCAGATAATGCTTTTAAACGCTGTAATGTCCTTTGTGGGGTTCATCAGTGGAGATGAATGAAGTATTTAGAGTCGTTAATATTTTATTACACTCAGCAGAAGCAGCGTTCACTGAGATTCAGCAACAACATGCGGTGAGAACCTGTTTGATCAGCGTGCAGAGCAAAGGATCTGAGAAGGACCTTTAAGAGGTGAACGCATCATCCAGCAGAACAGCTGATGAAGGCTTCCTGCCCAGATCTGCATCCACCTCTTTCCTCAGCACAAATGAGCGTCACCGGAATGAGCTGCAGGAAATTCTCCTCCGGCGTGCAGAACTCTGCACAACCGGGCGAGACGCCGACAGCAGAAACAGCTGATCAGACGTGAGCTACAAGTTCGCTACGTCAGAACTTATTCGGAAAAAGTGTTTCCATCTCCCGTTTAGAGCATTTACTCTTTTTTTCGACGAGGCAAAAACCACCTCAAGCGAGCATAAAAACTTTTTTGCGAAATTAAGTTTTTTTTTTTTCAAATTTTGCCATTTCCATCAACCTTTTCTATAACTCAAAATGCGCATTAAAAAACGTTGATGGAAACGGCTTATTCCGCAGCTGCAGAAGATTTGGTGAAAGAATAAAGTACTACAGACGAAGAACCGCACCAGATTTTATTTTGCATGGACCAATGACGAGCTGGGACTGTTACTGAATGTAACACGGGAGTTAAAAGCGGCGGTGGCGGCAGACGCAAAGTCGTCGCAAAGTAAACGCCGACATGCACAGTACGAGTGTTATTTACGCGGTGCTGAATATTTTAATAAAAACACCAAAAAAACTCTAAAACAGCAGCATCGTGTTTCTGCTTTGCATGACTAAAGTCCTCCGTTTTTGACTGTCTGCACTAAAACCTACCCGGAGTTCCAAAACGAAAATTGGGGGCAGCGGCGTTTTCAAACTTCTCAGTTTTAGGTCTTCGTTTTCGCCGTTTTAGTCTGGAGGATCAAACGGAGCAAAAGGTCTCTGTTTTAAAACCAAACCAGTAGCAGTAGTGTGGGTGGGGCCTGAGGAAAAGAGCTGTCTACAAATGACCCACAAACTTCAACGCAACTACAAACATGAAGAAACTTTGTCAACAAGTAACAACCGACGAGCTGCATTAAACTTCATGATGTTTGAATCTGGGTGCTGTTTCCACACATGTTGGTGTTGAAATGACTCGTAGGCACAGAGAGGTTTGAATCCGTGCAGAAGAACCGTCACTTTTTTCACAGCTCTGGTTCTAGAGGTAAACCCCTCCCCCCTCAGTTCATTTAATCCACTGACATTTCCAAAAATCCTTATTCTACGAATTTTAAGCCTTGAACTGATCCAGCCAGCTACGATATGAATCACGACCATAAGACATTTGAATCGGAGCAAAAAACGACAAGAAAAACGTGAAAATGGACAAAAGGTAAATATATCATTTGTTACATATTCCACAGTGTCAGAGTCTCGTAGCTGGTGGTGAGTTCCTGTGCTCTTCTTCTTCTATCCCCTACAATGATAAGTCGCTTTGGATCAAAGCGTCTGCCAAATGAGTAAATGTAATGTAATGTAATGAGTCTACATCTGATGTTTACAAGACTATGGCTCAGGATCAAAATCCCAATAGACAATATGAACAGGATTTTTACTTCCAGAAACTTAATGTTGAGCTCTATACCAGGTGTCTGACAACATCATGGAAAGGATCCTTACAAGGGACTCCCGGTGACCCCCTTTGTTTTTAACAGGGAACTGAAGTCTTGCTCTGAAATCTCGTGAGAGGCGAAATGTCGCAGGAAGACGCCGGTGGAAACGAGGGGGAAGAGTTTGTTGTGTTGGAGTCCTCTACGTACACAACAAACTCCTCTTCCTCTCTCTACTAGTTATGCTAATGCTAATGCTAATAGAAGTCCATGTTGACCAGGTGCTGTGAGACTTACGGGTTTGTGTTGCTGAGGCAGAAGAACGCACTGCCTTCTGGGATCGGGAGAATCTTCTCTTTAGGAGGAGCCAGGTCAGCCATCTTTAACTGGACTCCTCCATCTGACAGGAGGAGAGGAGAAGAGGAGGAGGTAAATTAGCTTTGTGCGGTATCACAAGAGATCCGGACAGAAAATATCTGCTGATTTATTGACTCAAAACATTTACATTAAATTATATTTTATATTACAGTTGATTGATTGATTGATTGATTCAACAGGGACAGAGTTCAGAATAAACCTGTACCTGGACCACAGATTACCGTTGTAGTAGTTTATATTAACATAAAGGGGTTTTAAGTAGGTAAACGATGACTTGACCGATCAACAGTTTGTAGTTATTCCTGTTAACTTTCTGTTATCAGCTACTTTCTGCCAGATCTGATTTGGTTAAATCCACAAATGGGTTCATGTAAACTAAAACATCTAAACATCCACACTGTTCTCTTTGTTTCTCTTCACATCTTTTCATTTATTTAGAAAATGTTTCTAAACTCATTTCTCCAGACGTCGACTGACCGTCTTCTCCCTCAGGAGGCTCTTCATCCTCCTCGTACTCGGTGTCTTCGTCGATGTCCACCTACAGAGACAAACAGCAATCAGCCCGATGGACTCACATGTAACACTACAGATTAAAGTCAGACCTCCGTGTTCACCTTCACTTCTTCTTCCTGCTCTTCAACCTCCTCCTCTGCGCTCTCCGTCTTCTTCCTGGAGAAACAACAGGAAACAGTGAACCACTCGAGCCTCCCGGTCTGACTTCACCCTCCCTCGCTGCCACTATTCCCTCCTTCATCCCTTCATCACTCACTCGTTCTTGCTGTCTCCGTCTCCTCCAGCCAGGTTGTCCACAGCGATGGCCAAGAAGACGTTCAGCAGGATGTCTGACACATGCTAAGTACACGCAACATCATCAAAACACTTGTGATTTCCTGCAGCACCTGAACGCACCTACAGGGAGGGAATTTCTGAAAGATCATCCAACTAATAATAATAATAAAAATAAAAATGTACAAACAGAAATAAAAGATTAATGAAATGTTGCTTTGGACATCTTTTAATTATGGTCACTAGGGGTGGTGGTTGCCAGAGACCCTCTCGATACGATATTATCACGATACTTCTGTCACATACGATATCACGATACTTCTGTCAGGATACGTGATATTGTCACAAATGATATTGTCACAATACAATATTATGACAAAATTTCTGTCACGATACTTCTGTCATGATACGATATTATGACGATACTTATGTCAGGATACGCGATATTATCACACATGATATTGTCATGATACGATATTATCACAATACTTCTGTCACATACGATATCACGATACTTCTATCACGATACGATATAATCACGATATGATATTATCACAATATTTCTGTCACGTTATGATATTATCACAATACTTCTGTCACAATATGATATCACGATACTTCTGTCACGATATGAAATTATCACGATACAATCACAATCCAATCTTATCACAATACTTATGTAACTATACAATATTATCACAATACGATATCACGATACAATATTATCACAATACGATATTATCACAATACGATATTATCATGATATTATCACACTACTTATGCCACAATACAATATTATCACGATAAGATATGACGATACAATGTTATCACAATAAAACATTATCACGATACGATATTATCATGATACAATATCACGATACGATATTATCATGATACGATATTATCATGATACGATATTATAATGATACGATATTATCACAATACTTATCTCACAACACGATATTATTATGATACGATATTATCACAATACTTCTGTCACGATGTGATGTAATCATGATACTTTTGTCACGATAAATTATCACAATACTTCTGTCACGATATGATATTATCACAATACTTCTGTCACGATACAATAATATCACGAAATTTCTATCACGATATGATATTATCACGATACTTATGTCATGATACAATATTATCATGATACAATATAATCACGATATAATATAATCATGATACTGATGTCATGATACGATATTATCACAATACTTCTGTCACGATTTTATATAATCACAATACTTTTGTCACAATATGATATTATCACGATACAATCACAAGCCAATATTATCATAATACTTATGTCACTATACAATATTATCACAATACGATATCACAATAAAATATTGTCACAATACGATTTTATCACGATACAATATTATCACAATATTATCACAATACTTATCTGACAATATGATAGTATTACGATACGATATTATCACAATACTTATGTCATGATACGATATTATTACGATACGGTATTATCACAATATTATCACGATAGGATATGACGATACAATGTTATCACAATAAAATATTATCAAGATGCGATTTTATCACGATATTATCACAATACTTATGTCACAATACGATATTATTACGATACGTTATTATCACAATACAATATTATCACAATACGGTATTATCACAATACTTATGTCACGAAACAATATTATTGCAATTTAAATATATTGTGATATTCTGTTATGTATTACAATTTATTACATCTTTGCCAACTTCAAATCATCTCCCCTAAGGAAAACTTTAAATAAAAATATAGATAATTATCTCCATTTGTTCATCTCACTTAGCATTAGCTTTACCATTCTCGGCTCTCTCTGGATGTGTGAGATGAGCCCTCACGTTCGTGGTATTTTATTTTTGTATGACTCTCCTTGCAAATCCCATGTGTCAAATCCATCTTCGTTGTCCCCTCCTTGTTAAAAATTCCAAAGCCCATACATTTGATTTAAATGCAGTGCTTTCCTAAATTCTTTCTCTGATGCTGCCATCTTTATTTTTATTAACTTCTTCCTGCACTCTGAAAAACCTCAGCAGCACCATCTAGTGGACTGAAAAAGGGCTTGATTTGATTTATCTAGTACCAAAAAGTTAAATTTTCATGTGCAATTTATAAAATAAAAGACTGATATTTGGCGTCCGTATATCAAAATAAAAAATATTGCGACACTATGCCTTATCAATATTTTCCACCACCTCTAATGGTCACATGACTAACTGACGGACTGTCCATAAGGAACCACCTCAGACACATATGTGAAGTCGTCTGGTGAAGAAGAGTTGTGTTATATTGCAGCTCACGCTGCTCTGCACATTAGCATCAGGCTAATACTGAATAATGGATGATTGATGTCGGCGTGCGAACGCCTCACTGCAACAATCAGACCACAGAGATCTTGTTTTAGGGTCCAGGACACTGACGGAGGCAACATCAGGCTGCAGGTGAAGGATACAGTTACCACAGATGAAGAGGATGACGAAGTAAACGCAGACGATCATCCCGGGAAAAACGGGGCCTCCGTACGCCATGATGCCATCGTACATCACCACGTTCCAGTCCTCACCTGTCAGGATCTGCACATACAGTCAACACCAGGGTCAGCAGAGACATCACTGAGGGAAGACAGTGTTTCTTTGTCACTGTGGCCAAGAGCTCGTGTTGGGTTACTAACATTTCAAAGACCTGCTCAATCTGAAAAGTAACTTCTGTTATGAATTGGTAAATGTTCTGTATAGCGCCTTTCTAGTCTTTTCAACCACTCAAAACGCTTTTACACTACATCTGCATTCAACATTCACACACTGACAGAACAGCCACTAGAGGCAATTTGGGGTTAAGTATCTTGCCCAAGGACACTTCGACATGCAGCCTGGAGGAGCCAGGGATTGAACTGCCAACTTTCCGATTAACGGCCAACCCGCTGTACCCCCTGAGCCACAGCCGCCCCTATTGTTGCTGTATAAATAAAATTAAATCAGCTGTGTCATTGGTCATCTATTAATCACATTTGTTACTATCATCCCCTTTAAACACTGAGCATCACAACCACAGCATGTTTAACAGAAGTGGGTGTGGCCACCGTGACGTCCACTGTTGGTTTGTGGACTGCTGCTTTGAAGCTTCCAGTTTGACATTTTGGCCGTCGCCATTTTGATTTTTTTGGAATTCTCATAGACTTCTATACAATCACACTTCTTTCTGCAGCCGCTGGAGTCGCCCCCTGCTGGCTGCTGGAGAGGACGCAGGTTTAAGGCTTCACTTTTCAGAGCCAGAGTCCTCTGAGGACACAATAACGTGTACCAGATGTGCAAAGTTACTAGTGTTTTTGGACATACTGCAGTTAAATACCAACAAAGGCTTTGTCACATTCAATTTGACAGTTTAATCGAGGTGCATTTCAAACTAACTCATAGTTACTGAGCCTTTAGGGTGTAAAGTCGACCCTAACTTAGGACAGAACACTCAGCCGGTGCAGCCCGGTGCTGAAGTTCAGGTGCGTTACCTGGAAGCAGGTGAGCAGCGCCTGTGGGAAGGCGTCGAAGGTGCTGCGTTTGGTCTGCGTCTCGTCGAAGTTGAACTTCCCTCCGAACAGCTGCATGCCGAGCAGAGCGAAGATGATGAGGAAGAGGAAGAGGAGGAGCAGCAGGGAGGCGATGGACTTCATGGAGTTCAGCAGGGACGCCACCAGATTAGACAGAGCCGTCCAATGGCTGAGCAGAGACAGAGTGACATCAGAGGAGGAGCATGCGACTCGGCAGTGAGCGCCGTTACCTGGTTCAGGTGTGTTTTCTCACCGTGTGACCTTGAAGATCCTCAGCAGGCGGACGCAGCGCAGCACGGAGATGCCCAGAGGAGGCATGATCTCCAGCTCCACCAGGATAGTCTCCATGATGCCGCCGCACACCACGAAGCAGTCGAAGCGGTTAAAGAACGCCACGAAGTAATGAGCCAAACCCAGACTGTACATCTTTAGCAGCATCTCCACCGTGAACAGAGACAGCAGCACCTTGTTGGCGATGTCTGCAGAGAGACGGATGCTCTTAATGTTCTTTTACATTTAAATTAGGTTAGTTATTAAATTAGAACTGCTCTCAATTAAAGGTTGAAAACAGCCTTTTCTCTTTTTTCTTCTTGATCAGAAACATTTGACCCAATACTTTTTTTGGGAGCAATTTCCTATTTGGATGAATTAATTATTATCACACCCTAAAGCCTCCCCTGCTTCCTGGTCTCTGTTCCTCTAAACAGGACCATAATTTACTAAATGAACATCATGCTGTGTTGAAGAAGACTTGAAACTAGCGACTGAGACCAGAAACTCATCAGGAAAGTGTTTACTGAGGGAATAAATCAGCTGACAAGTAGAAACATTTTCTCCGAGACTTCTATACAATCACACTTCTTTCTGCAGCCGCTGGAGTCGCCCCCTGCTGGCTGCTGGAGAGGACGCAGGTTTAAGTCGCCCCCTGCTGGCTGCTAGAGAGGACGCAGGTTTAAGTCGCCCCCTGCTGGCTGCTGGAGAGGACGCAGGTTTAAGTCGCCCCCTGCTGGCTGTGAGAGGACGCAGGTTTAAGTCGCCCCCTGCTGGCTGCTAGAGAGGACGCAGGTTTAAGTCGCCCCCTGCTGGCTGCTGGAGAGGACGCAGGTTTAAGTCGCCCCCTGCTGGCTGTTAGAGAGGACGCAGGTTTAAGTCGCCCCCTGCTGGCTGCTGGAGAGGACGCAGGTTTAAGTCGCCCCCTGCTGGCTGCGAGAGGACGCAGGTTTAAGTCGCCCCCTGCTGGCTGCTAGAGAGGATGCAGGTTTAAGTCGCCCCCTGCTGGCTGCTAGAGAGGACGCAGGTTTAAGTCGCCCCCTGCTGGCTGCTGGAGAGGACGCAGGTTTAAGTCGCCCCCTGCTGGCTGTTAGAGAGGACGCAGGTTTAAGTCGCCCCTGCTGGCTGCTGGAGAGGACGCAGGTTTAAGTCGCCCCCTGCTGGCCGCTAGAGAGGACGCAGGTTTAAGTCGCCCCCTGCTGGCTGCTGGAGAGGACGCAGGTTTAAGTCGCCCCCTGCTGGCTGTTAGAGAGGACGCAGGTTTAAGTCGCCCCCTGCTGGCTGTTAGAGAGGACGCAGGTTTAAGTCGCCCCCTGCTGGCTGCTAGAGAGGACGCAGGTTTAAGTCGCCCCCTGTTGGCTGTTAGAGAGGACCCAGGTTTAAGGCGCCCCCTGCTGGCTGCTAGAGAGGATGCAGGTTTAAGTCGCCCCCTGTTGGCTGTTAGAGAGGACCCAGGTTTAAGTCGCCCCCTGCTGGCTGCTAGAGAGGACACAGGTTTAAGGCGCCCCCTGCTGGCTGCTAGAGAGGACCCAGGTTTAAGTCGCCCCCTGCTGGCTGTTAGAGAGGACGCAGGTTTAAGGCGCCCCCTGCTGGCTGCTAGAGAGGATGCAGGTTTAAGTCGCCCCCTGCTGGCTGTTAGAGAGGACGCAGGTTTAAGTCGCCCCCTGCTGGCTGCTAGAGAGGACGCAGGTTTAAGGCGCCCCCTGCTGGCTGCTAGAGAGGAAGCAGGTTTAAGTCGCCCCCTGTTGGCTGTTAGAGAGGACCCAGGTTTAAGTCGCCCCCTGCTGGCTGCTAGAGAGGACACAGGTTTAAGTCGCCCCCTGCTGGCTGTTAGAGAGGACGCAGGTTTAAGTCGCCCCTGCTGGCTGCTGGAGAGGACGCAGGTTTAAGTCGCCCCCTGCTGGCTGTTAGAGAGGACACAGGTTTAAGGCGCCCCCTTCTGGCTGCTAGAGAGGATGCAGGTTTAAGTCGCCCCCTGTTGGCTGCTGGAGAGGACGCAGGTTTAAGTCGCCCCCTTCTGGCTGCTGGAGAGGACGCAGGTTTAAGTCACCCCCTGCTGGCTGCTAGAGAGGAAGCAGGTTTAAGTCGCCCCCTGCTGGCTGCTGGAGAGGACGCAGGTTTAAGTCGCCCCCTTCTGGCTGCTGGAGAGGACGCAGGTTTAAGTCGCCCCCTGCTGGCTGCTAGAGAGGACGCAGGTTTAAGTCGCACCCTGCTGGCTGCTGGAGAGGACACAGGTTTAAGTCGCCCCCTGCTGGCTGCTAGAGAGGACGCAGGTTTAAGTCGCCCCCTGCTGGCTGTTAGAGAGGACGCAGGTTTAAGTCGCCCCCTGCTGGCTGTTAGAGAGGACGCAGGTTTAAGTCGCCCCCTGCTGGCTGTTAGAGAGGACGCAGGTTTAAGAGTTCACTTTTCAGAGCCGGAGGTTCCTGCTTGGTTACTGAGACAGAGGACAATCCGTCAATACAACACTGATGATGTAACTGATTGTTGTTACCTTGGACTTGTGTGAGCCAATCAGGTTGGTTGTAGTGCTCGGAGGCACTGAGGGAGGTGTTGAGGAAGACGAGCAGCAGAACCAGCCAATAGAACGTCACAGATTTGACGGCAGTGCGACAGTTCCTGCGACAGACTCGGTTCCACCGACGCAGCGTCCGACTGAGTGAGAGGAAGACGGTCAGTGAGTGTAACGTGTGAAACGTTCCTGAATGTCTGACGGTCAGTGAACTCACCAGCAGCCGATCTTCATCATCCGCGAGCTGAAACGAGACTGAAGTTAGTTCACAAACCTCAGCAGCAGAGGAGCTAAGCATGTGCAGTCTATCCTGAGGGGGGCGCTACAGGAAAGATCATGACTACTGACTGGAACATTACTGTTGAACATCAGTAGAAACTTTATTAGAAGTAACAAATGACTTAAGCGTCCTGGACTAATTAATGGAAACACAACAAAATAAATACCGTGTCTCAGTTTGCACCTTTCCGTTCTCACACTTGCTATTTTGAGCGTGTGAGTGCGTTCACACTGAGAAACAAAGCAAAATGCAGCGCACTACCAATGGTGCACTCATAACGGTCAAAATGTTGAGGGTGAATGTGTTCAACGGTCGCCATCTTGGCTTCGTAGTGGAAGGAGAGTATTTTCAAACTGGTGAAAATGGTGGCCAAGGAAGCTGCAAGTACGTTAAGTTTCATTCAATTTTAATAAAACTGAATTGAAGACAAGTAAGCAAACAAGCTGGCAGATAATTTGGCTTTAAGGAACAATTTGCGATTAAAAAGAAGAAGAAGTATCGGTCAAATGTTGTGATCGTCATTTCTGGTTAGTGGACAACGGCAGTGTTTGATTCAAAACTGAAACGTACGCACTATGCAAGTAAGTACATAGTGTTGTAGGACCCAAGACCTGTCTTAAGACCACTTTTTGATGGTCTTGGTCCCGTCTCGGACTCGACCGCATTTGTACTCGGTCTTATCTCGTCTCGGACATATGATTTCTTTGTGAATATCCATCCATATCATGTCATGTAATGTGGGGAACTGGTCTTGGTCTTGACTCCGTCTTGGTTCGGTCTAGACTACAACATTAGTACATAGTGTACCCATTGTGATGTATGTTAGTGTAATAAAGCCTCGTGCGGACTACACGACTTTCAGCGTCGGCCGTGCCGTTCACACAACTTTTCGTCTTGTGACGGGAGTCTTGAAGAGGTCGTGGCGTTCACACTACCTGACTGATCGGTGACAGGGGGTCTCACACTACACGAGCTGACAGTGGCTCCGTCACCCGACGCTGGTCTCCAAACCAAGAAAACACACGTGAAATGTGAAACGGGAAATGGCACGAACCTACACAGGAAACAGCTGTTTGGTATTTGGCGTACTAGATATCTGGCAGACATCGGCGATGTGTCAGAAATGTGTCGGGGAGCCGTTTTGATGCGTTGTTGAGTAGTTCACACATGACTGCCGACCGCCGATCGATCGCCGATATACTCCCGATCACGGCCTGACGCAAATGTGCCAAATCAATCTTAAAATCGTGTAGTGTGACCTGGGCTTAAAGTATCTGAATTGACACACAGCTTCAGACGTTTGCTCTGAAACCTGTTTTCTTTCTCTGACAGGAAGTCGTCCAGTACGTTATCTTTGATTCAGCACTGAAGCTTCCTCCACCTGAGGACTTTCACAAGACTGAAATCCTTTGTCTCTGTTAAAGACTCTTAGTTCCTCCTGAATTGATTACTTAGTGCATTTCCTTGTCCTTTAGCATCGGTCATCATCATCGTGACGCCTGCAGCTTGTTCAGAATGAGGCTGTAGATTACTGACCGGTACCAGGAGGAGGGGCCGCGTCTCCCCGACACTGGCTGCTTCTCACTGGTTACCACTCAAATACAGAGTCGATTTTAAAGGGCTGTTAACAGTTTTGAAGGCCTTACATGGATGGATATCACTCAGATCATCAGACCAATACCTTTAGCTTCGTAAGAAACGAGAAGAGAGGCCCCCCGAGACTGTGGATTAAACTTCCCTGGGTTATCAGATCCTCCTCCCGCCACGAGAGCTTTTTATTCTTTGGCGTTTGAGTCTGTTTAGGGACCGTCGTGCTTATCGGTCTTGTTTTTCTATTTTTTGTTGTCATAAATTGCTAAACCGTTTTTTATTGTTTGACTTTGTTCAGCAGTTTGGTTAACATTGTTTTTTTTTTAAATGTGCTTCATAAATAAAATGACTGACGTGTGTGTGTGTGTGTTACCAGCAGGCCTGGCAGCAGTTGGTGTGTTCCTCGTCGATGTTCACGGTGTTCTCAGAAGCTGTTTCACTGGCAGGAAGACTCGCTGACGGACGGGAACAGACAGACAGATGAACTTTATCTACGTGTAACATCAGTTACTTCATTTGTACAGTCGACGTGTCGACACCCTGATCCGAGTCTGAGCACAGGCAGAAGATTCGTTTCAAACATTCAAACTGCAGGTTGTCGGAGCTGATTTCAGCCTGAGAGGAAATGACTCATCATGTCTCCTTCTACAGGTTTTTGGGGAAATAAATAACTAAAACTGTCATAAAAAAAACATCTTACAAAGATGCTTCAAACTGAATATCAGTGAATCAGAAGGCTGAAAAAAAATCACAGAGCTCTTTTTTTCTAGTAAAGGTGTGAAAACAACATCTCTGAGGCCTCGTCTACACGAACACGGGGATTTTCAAAACTGTGACCGTTTGGCCGTTCGTTCAGACGGAAACGCAGCATCAGGTCGCTGAAACTGGACATTTTTAACAATCCCTGCCGGGCTGACGATTTTAAGAAACGCCGGTTGCAGTGTTGTCGTGTAGAAACCGGAGTTTTTGGCTTGCCGTTATCTGCTGTGTTTGATGTCAGATTGGCGTGCTCTTGGCGCCTGACAGCTGTATTTTTGCATTTTCAGAGATTTTTTTAAAACGAAAGAGGAAAAACTCCGGTTATAAAAATACCTGTACGAGTGGACTAGGCCTGAGTTTTTCAGCAGCTTGTAAACATTAATTATACAACACAGTATAACTGTTATAATAATATAAATAACCGTAATAATCATTATTATGGATTCTGTTATTTGCTTAGACGCAAACATGTACACAGTATTATGTACATATACATACAGCATAAATAACATTCAACACAAAACAACCCATCTTTCTTGTTTTGGCTCAAATGATTTGTAGAATCCTTCTTTGTTCACATCGCCGCCTCTGATTGACAGTTTTCGTGTACTTCCTGTTCAGCTGACTCTGTAGACGTGTTTTCTGATCTGATCTGAATTCAGCTGAAGCGACAGAGAACGTTAAAACCTCCTGATGTGAAACAGGGTCAGATAAATATGAGAGACCCAGATATGAGTGAAGTCTTTCTACATTTAGACTGAAAGAGAGCGCACACACTCCTGCAGCGCTGTGTGTGTGTTAATAATATGATAATAAAGAACGAGCTTTCACCGTGAGTTTCATTGGAGTGACTGAACCACCCAAACTTCCCTCTCTTCTTATCTGACAGATCACCCAGACACGGACCTGAGAGACAGAGAGAAGAAGAAAATATACATTTATGTACTTTCTACATATTTCTAATATTTCTGTCTACATTTTGTCTATTTCATATCGTTCATTAACCTCTTAACATTCCTGTAAAGTTCATGCAAACGCCTCTTCAAGGCAGATCCAGAGTAAACTGAATGTAGTTCTTGAACCATCTGGAGTATCTGCCTGGTTTTGGGCTTCTCTGAAAGAAACACTCTGGGGAGTCAGACCCAAAAGTCAGAATGACTGTAAGAGCTACTGGAATTGATTAATATAAGTTTAAACACACTAAAACTAATACATTTTTAGTTTCCGCTTGAAAATGTTTTCTAACAAATGCATGCAGACAGCTACAGCTGGGAAACCCTGTAGGGCCGCAGCATAAAGCCTTAACCTGTCCAAGTTTAAACTTCACACCAGTACCATGAAAAATGACTTTTTACTTACTTTTACTCAGGTTTTTCTGAGGGTTTGTCTTACGGTGTGTTCACACCGAAAGCGAATCCAGTGTTTTGGGCGGCTTGATTACAAAGTCCATGCAAAGATGCAAAATTCGCTCCGGGCGGCGCGGAAATTCTCTGTATAGTTAATAGAACTAGAATAGTTAATATTTTTGAACTTGGGTGGAATATTTACTTGACACGATCTTGCAAAAGCCTATCAGTGCTGACATTGTCCAAACGTCACCGGCGGCTTCGGAGCGCTGTTTGGAGAGGACCAGGCGAGCGGTGTCCTAACAATCCGCCAGAGCAGCGCTGCAGCTTTGGGACAGATAAAACTCTGTAATCGGTCTGGATTCTGCTCTGACAGCTACGCCGTTTACTCGCGGGAGGAGCTCAGAGTTAACTACTTTTATTAAATTAGCTTTTGACTTTAGTTTTTGGGATTATAACTTGATTTATCTTCACTGGAGCTTTTCGACAGCTAGCTTCATATCTGGTTCCAGTGTTGTTGTTAGCATCGTTAGCTCAGCTGGATTATTACTACATATTTATATAAAAACTGGACAAAGCTGGACATTAGTTGGAGAAAAGGAAGCGAGGAGGTTGAACTACCTGGTGAGTTCAGAAAACTTGTGTCTGTAACTGTTTATTCCAGCTGTCGTTGTACTTTACTGTGAACAGGTTAGCGTAGCATAGCCCTGATCGAACCAAACTCCATTCAGAAAACAAACATTTTAGAAGCCGCTGTCCTGCTGACAGACCTGACAAAGCATCAATTCATATTTAACAAAACAGCATCATGTTCTAGTTATTTCAGCATCAGTTTGATCCATTTATTGCAATTAAATATCAGCAACATGTTTACTTTGGGTTCATATAGCTGAAGTATCCGCGGGCTGTGTTTGTTCACTTAAAACGCGATGTGTGTGTGAACACACAAAATGTCCAGCGGTCAAACTCGCGTGAGTAAAGCGAGGCAAATATTAAATTCGCTTTCAGTGTGAACACACCTTTAGCGTGTTTTTTCTAAAACAGCCCCGCCCCTTGGCGGCAGCTCGACGCAGACGTGTTTTTTTGCTGGTAGATCATGAACTTCCTACTTAAAGCTGGATGTCGTTATATTCAGAATTTCATTGGCTACATGAAGTGCCAGTCATCGGCACAGTTGGTTACAAAATTTTTGGTGTCAGTCGAAAGGTCAGAGTTCAGCGGCTAATTTGAATATAAGATATCATAGTTGTTTACATTCAAATCGGAGTTATTACAGTTACAATGACATACGAGCCGCGTCTGCCGGCAGATATGAAATAATACCGCAGCCGTCCCTGGGGATTTAGTGATGGAATAACATGTTTTGGACTAAATGTTTTTACTGGATTGGATCGTCTGGATCTTTGACAACGTTACAAGACCGTTTTTGTTGGGATATAATCGATCGGTGGATTAAGTTATTGTGAGGCTTCATAGGTGAGTCGTGTCAATTTTGATTGTACTGGTCGGTCTGACAGAGGCGCTGATTGGACCCGCTGTGGTGATTGTATCTTGAAATGGTTTGCATTGGATTTTAGCTTGGGTGGGCTGTTGGAATGTTAAGAGGTTAAAGCAAATTCCTTGTAAATGTAAAAACGTCTGATTCTGATGCATGGGCGCCGAGGTCCAAGAGGCTACACAAACGCACCTGATTCTTGAACTGACATTTCAGTCATCCACTCAATCAGACGTGTGTCACAATGTGCACAACCGGTCAAAACCAGTAACACACACACACAGCGTCTCTGTCTTACGTGGGTTCCCGTCCTCGTCCAGTTCGTCCATGTCTTCGGCCTGAGTGATCCAGTCCATGTATCCACACAGATCCTCCTCCATCTGCTGCTTCTCCCTCAGCTTCTGGAAATCTCCCCGAGCCTTCGCCTTCTCCCTCTCCTTACTGAACTCTCTGCAACGTTCACACGTTAACGCAACATTAACACAACTTTTAAAGGTGAGATCTTTAAGAACTGAGACTCTCCACCTGTTGACTCTGACTCCGGGGACGGTCGAGACACGGCGGGTTCAGGAGAGGCGTGAAGCGGGAGAGGACGAGAGGGGGGTCGGCCATCGTGGAGGTAGACTATTTTCACTTCTAACTCATGAATTAAGGGTAAACTAGAGCTGGTGGTTGTTGCAACAGTGGAACGTGGTTAGTTATATTTAGTTTCTGTAGAGTTTGAATAAAGTTTTAGAAGGTCATGAGTTCAGTGAAAAAGAGAAACTTGAATTCAGAACGTGTGCGGTTTGATTTTTCTGTTTGAGAAGGAAAAAACTTGTGGGAATAATTCCTTTTTGATATTTTGTGAGTCCGGATGTACAAAGTGGTATTAAAAGACAGGACAGGCCTGGGACGGCTGGGTAGGATGTACAGTAGATATCTCTGCAACACAACACACAGACATCTTTGACATAATGTCAGAACTGTTTACGTCCTGTTCATCATGTTGGTTCATTCTTTGAATGTTTGAAACTAAAATTCTGGTCATTCAGTCTGACTTACTTCTGCTGCAAATCTATGTGTAGCCGCACACCCTGCACCGTAGCCTGACGAGCACCTCCCCAAAAATTTAACTACCCTTTCTGGCAACGCAGACCGCAAGAACTGATTGGTTGGCTTGGTAGCATCATTTCCTCCTAGCATCAAGTGCTCCGTGCTTTGAAGCTAGGGGCCAAACCAGCGGCTGTAACACGGTGGATCAGTTTTTTTGAGCATCACATCATCTGCGACATGTTTCACTATCAGGGTTTGATCCGTTCGGTCCGATAACATTTGGAAAGTCTAGAAGAGCTGCATGATTATTATTTTACCCCCATTCAAGTTAGCGGAGGGCTAACAGGAAGTTAGCCGGCTCACTGGCAGAAGTCAACACATTGGAACGTGGAAACCCCACTGCCAGCTACCGTTTTGGTGGCGTAACTGCAGAGCAATTACGTGTGGCTATCTACGAAAGCGTAGACTCGACGCAGAACTATAAATCAGGCTTTACACACTGCACCTTTAGATCTCACACAAACACTCTAAAGTCTCTGTAGACCCGTGGATCTGTAACATGTCCATTTCATTTTAAGAATTTGCTTGTTTAAAGTGAGTTTTTCATGTTGTGAGAGACAACAAACCCGCTGAGGACTCCCAGAACCAGGTTGAGAACGAAGAACGATCCGAAAATCACCAGACTGACAAAATAAACCCAGGGCAGCTCGAACCCTATGGCGTCATTCATCTGCACACACACACAGAGGGTATGTTAGAGTACCTGGTATCTCATGCAGACATGAAGAACAGCAGCCTGATAAACAGAGAGAGCGTTTTACCCAGTAGAGAACGTCCGTCCATCCCTCCATCGTGATGCACTGGAACACGGTCAACATGGCGAAGAAGAAGTTGTCGAAGTTGGTGATTCCTCCGTTGGGACCGTCCCACTTCCCCCGACACTCTGTCCCGTTAACGTTGCACTGACGGCCGTGACCGGCAAACGCACACGGCACCGGGTCGTCCTCCACAAAATTATCTGCAAAATAATAGGATTTTATTAGAACGAGCCAAAAGCTTCACTCGGTCTGTGTGTGCTGACATTTATTGATTTAATTTGATATTTCCTTAAATGTTTCCTCTATTTTTACATTTGATATGTTAGTACATATCAGCCAAATGTGTGACATCAGACTATCTCCATTAAAATATTAATGTTTCGTGCAACATTACTTCATATTTCCTTGTCTTCATTAATAGACATCTGAAACATTGAATTTGTTGTATAGTTTATTTTAAAGATTATGAAGATATTTCCGGCCCTGCGATGGGCTGGCGACCTGTCTAGGATATAGCCCGCCTTTCGCCAAAGTCGGCTGGGATTGGCTCCAGCCCCCCTGCGACCCTGTACGCAGGATAAGCGGTTGACGATGGATGGATGGATGGAAGATATTTCCAGTTGACTCTCCAATTGTCTTCTAGCATTTTATTGTAAATGTTTTCCACATATAGATGTTAATCCTCTGATTCCTCTTACATACCATTGCACAATCCGCCATAGAACATCGACGGCTCCATCGTCACCCCTTTACATAGGACCGCAACCTTGGAGTCATCTTTGACTCCACCCTCTCATTCTTGGCCCAGGACAAAAACTGCCTACCTCAAGAACATTGCACACCTCCGGCCGGACTTATCCTTTACTGCTGCAGAAAAGCTGCTCCAGTCCCTCATCACTTTCAGATTTGGCTACTGCAACAGCATCCTCTATGGTTCACCTGACAAAATCATCATTAAGTTTCAGTACATCCAGAACTAGTGACTTCCACCTGTCGCAGAGATCACATCACCCCCATCATTCACAACCTCTACTGGCTCCCGATTAATTACAGGATCCACTGTAAACTTCTACTCATCAGCTACAAAGCCTTGAACAACCAGGCCCCTCTCTACGTCTCCGACCTCCTCTCCCGCCACACCTGCACCTCAGGTCTGCGGACGCAGCAACACTTAAAAACATCAGGACAAAGCGCCGGTCCTATGGTGACAGGGCACCTACCCTCTGAAATGCCCTCCCTCGCCACATCCGATAGGCTTACTCCATGCCATCTTTCAAACAGGCCCTCAAAACCCACCTTTTCAAGACTATATTGCCCAGTTAACATCCTAGCCCTCTCTCCCTCCTCTTCTTTTAAACCAATTCCTTTTATCTTTCCCTAAATTCCCTACAGGCCCCATCCACACTACTCAGTTAAAAAAAGAGTTTTAAAACGATATAATCTCTGTCCACAGCAGCGTTTTAGCTACGTATCAGAATTGATCTCCGTCTATTGTAACACGACTGAAACCGCACATCTAGTGGCCGTTCACATACTCTGGGCATGCACGTCCCGGTGTAAACATGAAGCAGATGGTCTATTCTGTAGTTACAGAAGACTTGGCGAAAGAATAAAGAAATACAGACAAAGAACTAGAAAGATTTTTTTTTTTTGCATGGACCAACAACAAGCTGGGAATGAATACTGAAAATAACACAGGAGTTTAAATCGACTGTGGTGGCAGAAAACAGACTTGGAGTCGTCGCAAAGTAAACGACAACATGCACAGTATGTGTAGGCTGTAGGTGTTATTTGCACGGTACAAACTTTTTAAATAAAAATACCAAATCAAAAACTATATCAGTAGCATCGTGTTTCTGGTTTGCATGACTGATAACAGCCAATCAGAGAGCCAAACGTGAGCGTGTGTGTCCTCCGTTTTTGCCCATCCGCACTAAAACGCTACCCAGAGTCTTAAAACGAAAAACGGGGCCGGCAGCGTTTTCAAACTTCTCCATTTTAGGTCTTTGTTTTCGCGGTTTTAGTCTGGACGGGAGGTGCAAACGTAGCAAAAGGTCTCCATTTTTAAATAAAAACGCAGAAGTGTGGATGGAGCCTAAGTCACCAAAGCAAATTCCTTGTATGTGTAAACTTATTTGGAAATAAAGCTGTTTCTGATTCTGATGAGAGACTTGGCCTGTATATTGTGTGTGTGTGTGTGTGTGTGTGTGTGTGTACCTAGTCCTATGTAGTAGCAGGTCTTGTGCATGCGTCCTATGAAGAGCTCCAGACCGATGATGGCGTAGATGATGATGACAAAGAGAACCAGCAGAGCGATGTGGAGTAGAGGAACCATTGCCTTCATGATGGAGTTCAACACAATCTGCAGACCTGACAGATACACAAAGCTTTACCCGCGTACAACCACACACACGTACACACACACACTTCCTCCAGTCCAGTAAACTCACTGGGAACTCCAGAAACCAGTCTGAGGGGCCTCAGGACTCTGAAGGCTCTTAGAGCTTTGACGTCCAGACCTCCAGGTTTCCCCGGCACATGATGACTGGTCGCCTGCTCGCCAGATTTATGAGTCATCGTCTCCAAGACAACGCTGAACAACCTGCACAAACAACAACAAAAACAAAAAGAAGAAGAGGGAGACCAAAGTTTAAGATCCAGCTCATCAAAAATTAAGCCTCAGTTTCCGGATTAAAAAAAGGCAGAAACACTTCCACACAGCCAATACAAGCTGACGTAACAAAGATGACAGAGTGATGTACAGCATGGTGTCGTCTGCATAACGGTGGACATGAGTGTGGAAATATATCTTTTGTTTTTTCTATATAAGAAATCCAGCTCACGCACATATGATGTCAGGAATGGTCTTTCTTTGTCAGAACTAATTACTAACACCATTATGGTGATTTTGATGTTTATTGTGTAAAAGTTATTTTGAAAATCTAACATAAAGATGTTGTTAATGTGAATGTTGTCTTGTTTTTTGCAACAAGTCCTACAACCTAAATGACAACATAGGCTGTTTGGCCATGCCTCCCCAAACGACACATATGAGCATTAACTGCGTTACGTAAGTCACATGACCTACGTCACATGATATTAAACATGTTGTGAAATGGTCACAGTTTGGTCAGGTTAAGGAAATCGTCGTGGTTTGGGTTAAAGTAAGTAAATTGCGTAAGTCATTTGACGGAAGGCAGTAATGCTATTTAAGTTAATACTCAAAATAACTCAACATTTACTTGGTTTCACACAGGACTCAAACACAGTTCTCCGAAATGACAGTCTGAGGTTTGACCCATCCATCTCCTTATGGGCACTTTCTGCTTATTTATAATACGACACCCAACTTCCTCCTTTGCTACCGTTGTACAGACACAAACATAAATATGTGACGTAATAAGGTACTGCACAAACAACCTATATTGTCATTTTTCCAGTGAGAAAATGTACAACAAAAATCTTTGGGAAGCACTGCACTAAACAGCAGCAGAGTCCTGTTGCCAACCCAAACTATTTAAAATGTTATAATGAACTGCATGGAAGGACAAGATCAGATCGAAATTAAAGGCGTGCACTTTTAAAACAGAAGCAAAAAAATCAGTGTGTTTGATCAGAGCTGTTTTTGCTCTGTGATTAGTTCTTAAACCAGATATGAAACTTTTATTTTTTCCACTATGTCAAGTCAAAACACTAAAAGAACCCCTCAGTGTCCCACATTCAGCCGCCTCTCGGTGCATCATCTCTGACTGCAAAGTGGAACAGAGTGTCCTTGGGCAGCTCTACAACGACAACGGGCTTCATCATCATCGCCCCGAGGTCGTGCTGAGTCACGTCACTGTCCTGCAGCGAGGACATAAACCAACATGGAGGACTCATAGTGACCTGAGCAGGTGACTCTGACCCTCATTAAAACCTTTATTTCTTGTGTCCCTGTCTGTTTTCTGTTTCAATCTGTACTTCCTCCATGTTTCCCTGATGTCCTGATAAATTTAGTATAACATTTCGACAGCAGCAGGGGGAAGTCACACTTGCTGCTCTGTGACAACACTTTGCCTGCCTTCTAACTACGTTGTTTTCTGTATTATTGTGATTGCTGTCCAGGATTGAAATGCAACACTTCACACACAATTGAGACTGAATTGAAAGTTTCACTGACAGCATACATAAAATTATAAATTAAACAGGGAAAGAAAGTATTAACTGAGCACAGCAGAGTGGTGAGGATGATTTAACTGAATTGACATTATACTGAATTTATCATGTGACATAGGGCGAGTTCACACCGACCTTGTTTGTCCGGTTTAAATTAACCCTGGAGCGTTTACCCCCTTGGTGTGGTTTGTCTGGATTGATGGGAACGCCAGACTCAAGCTCTGGTGCGAACCAAACAACCGCTCGGAACTCGGAAGTCAACCTGTTCTCATTCCCCGACTCGTCACATAATGTTTCAAAATGGCAACGCTTCGAAACACTAGCGTTATTGTATATTTATTGTTGCTAACTTGACCGCGAAGCCTAAAAGCCTAATAATGACGCTAAAGCGGTACCATGGCCGCCAAAGGGCCTTGACCGCGTCGTCAATATGTGATGAGTTGGGAGTGAGAACGTGTAGCTGGAGAAGTTTATATCTGGTGTGAACACCATTCAAACCAGTAACAAGAAATGTCCTGTTGAATGTGTCATTTCATTGGTTAAAAAACTTTTTCTCTTCCTGTTTTGGTGACTGGTTATCTAGAATCAAAATGTCAACTAGCCTGGGACAAACCTGGACTCAGGATGAAGTGTGCTGCCTCCTGATTATTTGGGCTAAAGAGAACATTTTTTAGTTACTACAGATGCTGCAGAAGAACTCGGAGGTATTACTGTTTCACGGCCTGAAGCAAGGCATCCTCAACACCAGAGTCGGGGTTAAATTCCCTGTTTCACAGCAGTGACTCTGTTTATGTGGTGACAGCTGAGTTTATTGTAGGAGGGTGGGTGTGTATATTTAGTTGCTGTGTACAGTGATCACGGTCAGCTGTCACATACACTCAACACAAAAACACTAAAATGAGATAAATTGTGGCGTCGCTGGAGGGTTTGTTCCTTCACTGACCACAGAGTTTACTGCAGTCAGATGCGATTTACTGCTACAACTCTTTGAAAACTGCTTCAACTACACAGAGAGACTCAGCACAGAGTCAAACACAGGACAAGACCCGAGAACCCTAAAGAGAAGACCAAGAAATAAAGGGAGGACCAGAAAGAGATAACCAGGTTCTAAAGACAGGACCGGGATATAAAGAGAGAACCAGAGTCTACTGAAATAACCAGGTTCTATAAAGAGGACCATCCACAGAAGGTTAAAATCAAGGGCAACTGGACTTGGTTGAAGATACTGGAAGATGTTTTGTCCCTCATCCAAAGGACTTCTTCAGTTCTGACTGACTGGCAGGGAAACTCTATTTAAAGCTATTTAACCTCAGTGGGGCCGTATGTCAGGATCGTTGATACCGCTGGTTCGTTAGTGCTCCTGGCTGTTGTAACGACAGTCGTTATGCTCGTTAGGACTACCTGAGGCCAAGACTGAACGACCATGAGGTTAAATAGCTGAGTTTCCCTAACAGTCAGTCAGAATTGAAGAAGTCCTTTGGATGAGGGACAAAAAGTCTTCTAGTATCTTCAACCAAGTCCAGTTGCCCTTTTAACCTTCTTTGGATAACTATAACCTGGATAACTGAGAATCTTCACAGACATAAAGAGAACCAGGAATTAAGGACAGGACCAGGGTATGAAGAGAAAACCTGAGTCTACAGAAATACCAGGATCAAAAGAAAAGGCCAGAGTCTAAAAAAAGAATGGATATAAAGAGAGAGACAGGAACTAAAGAGATAACCTTAGTCTAAAGAAAGAACCAGAGTCTACAGAAATAACCAGGATCTAAAGAATGAGCCACAAACTAAAGAGGACCAGACTCTATAAAGAGAGGACCAGGATATGAACAGAAAACCAGAGTCTACAGAATGAACCAGGGTCTAAAGAAACAGCTACAGACTAAAGAGAGAACCAGGAATTAAAGAAAGAACCAGATAATAACACAGGATAAAACCACGATCTAAAAATAGAACCAGTCTATAGAAAGAACCGGGTCTAAAGGAAGAAACAGGACATAAAGAGAGGACCCCATTTAAAAAGAGAAACAGAAAACCGTCTGAAGACAGACCAACAAAAAGTGAGATGCTAGAGGGAACATCTTATGACAGCACAAATGTCTAAAGAGAACCAAAGTCTAAGGGGAGGACTTCCATGTATGTAGAGAATCATCATCTAGAGATATAAAAAGAGAACCAGGATCCAAAGAGAAAACTAGCATATAACATAAGAACCATGATTTTTTTTTAAAGAACCACGATCTAAAGAGAAAACTGGAATATAAAGCGATAACCAAGATATATCAAACGAACCAGGATCTAATGAGAGAACCACAATCTAAAGAAAGAACCGAGATCCAAAGAGAAAACCAGCACATGACAAAAGGACCAGGATCTAAAGAGAGAACTAGAGTCTAAAGAAAGAACCAGGATCTAAAGACAGAACCAGGATCTAATGAGAGAATCACAATCTAAAGAAAGAACCGAGATCCAAAGAGAAAACCAGCACATAACAAAAGGACCAGGATCTAAAGAGAGAACTAGAGTCTAAAGAAAGAACCAGGATCTAAAGACAGAACCAGGATCTAATGAGAGAACCACAATCTAAAGAAAGAACCGAGATCCAAAGAGAAAACCAGCACATGACAAAAGGACCAGGATCTAAAGAGAGAACTAGAGTCTAAAGAAAGAACCAGGATCTAAAGACAGAACCAGGATCTAATGAGAGAACCACAATCTAAAGAAAGAACCGAGATCCAAAGAGAAAACCAGCACATAACAAAAGGACCAGGATCTAAAGAACAACCTGGAAAGGGAGAACAGTATCTAAACAAGTGTTTCTCAAACTTCTTCTGTCACGCCCCCTTCAGAAGGCCAAAAAAGGTTCATCAATCATTGATCATGATTGAAATAAACTAAACATTCAGGTTAGCAAGATAGCTTTGCTAGCATCAGAGCACTTTTTAATATGTCACCACATGAATCATATTCATGTAACTGTGGGTCTTCTCAACATCCCCCAGTTTCAGAACCACTGGTCTAAACAGAGTACCGACGCTTCCATTGGTTCTTTTGAATTGAATTGAATTGAATAAATTGAATTAAAATTCTTGTTTTCTCACCCAACGATGACGATGACGAAGTCGAGCAAGTTCCATCCATTGCGGATGTAGGAGCTGGGGTGCATCACCAGACCGTAGGCCAGGATCTTCAGGAAGGTCTCCACAGTGAAGATGATGAGGAAGATGTACTCCACTTGTTCCTGAAACACAGAGGGAACATGTTCCATTCAAACCACAGAATATCACTGAACACTCCTCTGGAACCAGGAAACTAAAGAGAGAACCAAAGACTACAGAAAGAACCAGGATCTAAAGACAGAACCAGAATCTTTAGAGAGAACAAGGAATTAAAGACAGATAACCAGGAAACTAAAGACAGAACCAGAGTCTACAGAAAGAACCAGGATCTATAAAGAGAACAAGTAAAGAGAGAACCAGAGTCTACAGAAACAACCACGATCTAAAGAGAGAACCAGAGTCTACAGAAACAACCACGATCTAAAGAGAGAACCAGAATCTATAAAGAGAACAAGGAACTGAAGAAAGAACCAGAGTCTGAGGAGAGAACCAGGGAACTAAAGAGAGAACAACAGTCTGAGGAGAGGACCAGGACAAAAAAAGAATCAGGATCTAAGAGAGAGACCTGGATCTGATAATGTTTCAAGGTTCAAGGTTCAGCTTTATCGTGCACGCTGAAATTAGCCCCACTACACTCAGAACGTATGAATGTATTCAGATACTATTAAATTAGATAAATCAGTAGACCAGAAGAGAGTAAATAAAAGTAGCACTAAAGAAGGAAATCAGCCAACACATCCTGATCAGACTTCTAACTGTGCACATGCGGCACAGACAGCAGCGGAGTGAGAACACGTGTTGTTTTGTAATTTGGGTGAACTGAACCTTTAATGATCTCTGAAGGGAGGCCTGAATGCTGGAGGACATTTATAAGGTGTTTTACACACAGACCGAAAGCTGGGGTTTGTGTGTGACCTGGCTTTGAGAGCATTTCAGAGGATTACTAATCTGTCATCATCCCTGCACCACAAACACACAACCAGCGCTGGTCTTTCCATACCATGGAGGACTCTCACTGACTCAGTGCATCGCCTGCCCCTCGCATCAGCCATCACGTTTACGTGTCTAACACCAACCCTTTCATCAACCTTGAGAGCAAACAGCCCTTTGACGAAGTGAGAACCAGGCAAAATGTCTTCAGTCCCAAAATCTAAAACGCAAATTGGTCCTCACAAACACAGATGTACAACACACACACAAACACTGGCGTCCGGCTCTCATCTCGTTCTGTTGTCGTTCCGCCTCCTCTCGGCTCTAAATCTCTCTGCTAGCTGCAAATGGAAAAACTGGGAATCAAACCAGTAGCAGGGCTCACACTCTTATCTAGAGATCATTTTCCAGAGATGATCTTAGCTGCTGACAGACAGGGATCACGACACACTGATAAGTTTAAAGATGTACAGTCAGTGGCTATAACTGATCTATGGAATCATCTATTACATGCATAGAAATGAGGACAAAATTGATCTTGCCTTGTTTTAATGCTCTGTTTTAATACGGTTATCATAGAACTGCCCTTGTATTTTTTGTTTCTTTTGGAAAGCCATGTTCAATGCTTGGCCAACCCGTTCTCCCTCCCCGACTCGTCACATATGGACGCATGGTCAAGACCCATCGGCGTCAGTTTGTAACGCACTGGGGATCCTTGTAGCGTCATAGTTCAGCGCAGTGGGGGAAACCCTGTAGTGTCAGTTTGTGACGGTAAAGGCAGGTATATGATATTTAACAGAAAAGACTGAATAAGGAGGAGGATGGGGTGGATGGAGGGCCAGAACCAAGACCGGAGACTGGGGTTCGTGTCCCGTGTTAAATATTTTTTAGAAGTTACATGAGCTATGTAAATTGACGTAAGTGACGTAAGTTAATTTATTTATTCTGAAAGTCTAACCGGACGTTGCATATTTTTTGTTGCTAATCGTTGCTAACTTTACAGCGGAGCCTTAAACGTCTAAAAATGACGCTAAAGGGCCTCGACCACGTGTCAGTATGTGGTGAGTCAGGAGTGAGAATGTGTTGGTGAGGTATGTTCAGCGGCGTCACCACGTCCACCAGGGATTCATCATGAACTTCCTTATAGTATTTGTAATTAAGAGAATTTGAGAAATGTGACACTGTTACAGGCCTGTAGTAGCGGCTCTGCAGCGACTATCATTGGTGTTGGACAGATCAAAGATGGAAAAGTCAGAGGATCACCAGAGTTACTACAGTTCATCCTGAGCAAGACAGGAATAAACCATACTCAGTCACAATCCATCCAATAGCTGTTGAGATACTGAAGTCTGGAACAAAGTGGTAGACTGACAGATATAATCCCAGAGGGCACGGCAGTAGTGTTGCTAAAACAGCCCACCACAAACAGCATCAAAAATGTGGTTTGACATAATGAAACTCTGAAGCTGATATATTTAAAAAGTACAAACAGAAGTAGTTTTGTAGGTCACATTTCTACTTGTTCGCTCAGGAAGGAGATGCTTCTCTTATCTTTTCCTCCACTCGCTTATCTGCTGTAGTCGTCTTCTTTCACGCGATCGTGTGAGAGAAAAGCAAAGTGAGCACGCAAGAACGAACAACACACACACACAGTCGGGCCGTCACTTCAATAAAGGACAACTTCATGAACAGTGTTTACAGTGAAACTGTAACTAGAGGTCGAGAGACATCGACATGAAGAGGTGAGAGAGAGAGCTGAACCATCAGAGCAGAAACAGCTGATCAGATCTGATCACAGACCTGTCAATCATTTACTGTATCTATCTGTGACCTTTGACCTTTACAGCAGGAGCAGTGAGGAGTGCTTCATTACACATTATCAATGTGTTACTAACTATGTCTCCTCCTGCAGACAGAAGTGGAGGCTCCTGTACAAACAGATACTGAATGGCAAGATAATAAAACACAGCTGTAATGATACACACAGGGCAGCAGGGCTGCAGCTTCTGTGGCCGCTGAGAGTGAAACCCGGGTGTGGGAGGAGTTCAGGGAGGCTATGGAGAAGGGCTTTCGGTTGGCCTCAAGGAAGTTCTGGCAACTTAGGGAGGGAAAGCAGGGCTCAGGCTGAGCTGAACTGGGGAGGATAACCACTGCCCCAGACTGGAAATATTGTGGAGTGGTGGAAGGAGCATTTGAGGAGCTCTGAACCCGAGCAACAATTCCTCTGAGGAGGAGGCAGAAGAAACGGGGGGAAAACCTCAGTGAGATTCCGGAGGAGAAACGCGGATTCTGTCCTGGCCTTGGACCAGTGGACCAGCTCTGCGAGGTTGTTATAGGGGTCATGGAAGTTTGAGCATCCATCCATCTATCGTCAACCGCTTACCCTGCGTACAGGGTCGCGGGGGCCAGGAGGCCAATCCCAGCTGACATCGGCCGAAAGGCGGGGTACACCCTGGACAGGTTGCCAGTCCATCGCAGGGCCACACATAGACAAACAACCAGTCACACTCACACCTAAAGACAATTTAGGACAATCAACCTAGTCCGCATGTCTTTGGATGGTGGGAGGAAGCGCTATCCACCGGAACACCGTGCCGCCCGCAAGTTTGACCATCCAGTCTAAATGTGCTTTGTGGACTTGGAGAAGGCTTATGGCCGTGTGCCCTGGGGAATCCTGCAGGGGGTAGTGCAGGAGTATAGGGCCTAAATGCACGTAGCATGTACGAAAATCCTGCAGTACTGCAGACACTGTGTACTAGATGTGTCATAATGCAAAAACTTAAAGTTACTCTTTGAGCCAGTGCTAAAACTATCCTTAGAATTCAATAAATCAATAAAATCATATACCTTGAAAGCCACTTCTGAATAAGATAACGATTGGATTTGTTAACATTTAACCCCTGACAAATCTTTAAACCAAAGCTAACTGCTACTAAAAACACAATGTCTCCTTTTTACATTGCTATTTCAACACCTGTTCAATAAATAAGACAACACATCAGACAAATCAGACAAACTTGGACTTATTATTATTTATACTTAGCTAGGCTAACAGTTTCTCCCCGCTGCCAGTCTTATGCTAGTTAGCTGCTTCAGTTAGCTTAACCTGATGATACACGGGGCAACTTTTTGAGCAAAGTTGCTGGGCTATCTTGCTGGTGGCAAGTCCAACTATGTTTTGAACGGATAGCGGCGGGACGGGGCAAGTGGCGGTGTGATGGGGGAAGGGGATTACCGTAGTAATCTTTACTCATTACCGTGTATTATCAACTTTACAGTTAGCTGGTCCAGTTAGCTTAGTCAGAGGTTTCTTATCTGTGTGTCCAGTACAGGTCCAGATCCAGGACAGGTTTAGCCTAGCTTAGCATTAAGACTGGAAGCACTGGGAAACTGCTGACCTAGCTCCATTAAGATCAAATCTTTCAATGGCTCCAAAGCTTAACATCTGCTGGATAATTTCTTTATTTTAACAACATTTAACAGTATTTCTGTGATGTGAAACCACAAGGTGTAAGATTCTAGGCACCTGGAACAACACACAGGAACAAACACACTAACCTGAGGCTGAAATGTTAACGCCACCTGCGTCTGTTCACCTCAGACAAACTCAAACCCAAACCTCCAGCTCCTCTTTACAGCCACTGAAATGTTCTCATATTCTTTATTTATTCATTCAATGTCTTTATTTGTGTATTTAAATGTGTTTAACTGTGTAGTTGTGTAATTAATCTCACCAGGTCGTGGTTGGTGGAGTTGGAGTCATCCTCAGGAAACGGTTTAGAAACTCCCAGAGCGACACAGTTAGCAAAGATGGCTAACAGAATGAAGATATCAAACGGTCTGAGAGACACGTTAAGGAAGCTCAGCAGGGACAAAAAACAACATTTCAGCCATCTGATTATTCCACAAGTCTTTTTTACATGCTGTTAAATGTGCTACAGCTCAAAGCTAATCAGCTAACTAGCCTGCAAAGTGATTGCATTTACTTTTCCCTGGTGAATGTTTGTCGGCTTCTTCACGACAAGACGTGTGTTCGTGTTTGTTAGTAATACAAAAAGGAGACTTTAGCATGAAGCTAATGTGGTCGTTCAGAGTCTGTGGCTCAGCAGGCTGCTGATTGGTTCTGTGTGACTGTCTGCTCTGCCTATGATACAATGCAGATGTTGCAGCTTTATTCTGCATTTGATTGGGTGAATCGAAATAACCATCTACATAGACGACCTAATGACCATCGTATCAATGTAAACTAAGGGACAAGTTCAGTAAACTGGTACAAAGCTGACAGCTGACTGGTCAGATTTCAGGATACTTCCACTCGACGATAGAGAGAGCGGCTCGTCTGATTGGATTGTTGAGTTTCAGACAGAACAGCGCTCTGGGAGCTCGCTGGACCTGATTACTGCCTTGGACCTGAGGGGGAAGAGTAAGGACATCATCAACATCATCACCTGTTTGTTAGCGTGTTGCCTCTCTGTCTCGCCTGTTTGTTAGTGTGTTGTCTCTCTGTCTCGCCTGTTAGTTAGCGTGTTGTCTCTCTGTCTCGCCTGTTTGTTAACGTGTTGCCTCTCTGTCTCGCATGTTAGATAGCGTGTTGTCTCTCTGTCTCGCCTGTTTGTTAGCGTGTTGCCTCTCTGTCTCGCATGTTAGTTAGCGTGTTGTCTCTCTGTCTCACCTGTTTGTTAGCGTGTTGCCTCTCTGTCTGGCCTGTTTGTTAGCGTGTTGCCTCTCTGTCTCGCATGTTAGTTAGCGTGTTGCCTCTCTGTCTCGCCTGTTTGTTAGCGTGTTGCCTCTCTGTCAGGCCTGTTTGTTAGCGTGTTGCCTCTCTGTCTCGCATGTTAGTTAGCGTGTTGCCTCTCTGTCTCGCCTGTTTGTTAGTGTGTTGTCTCTCTGTCTCGCCTGTTTGTTAACGTGTTGCCTCTCTGTCTGGCCTGTTTGTTAGCGTGTTGCCTCTCTGTCTGGCCTGTTTGTTAGCGTGTTGTCTCTCTGTCTGGCCTGTTTGTTAGCGTGTTGTCTCTCTGTCTGGCCTGTTTGTTAGCGTGTTGTCTCTCTGTCTGGCCTGTTTCTTAGCGTGTTGCCTCTCTGTCTGGCCTGTTTGTTAGCGTGTTGCCTCTCTGTCTCGCCTGTTTGTTAGCGTGTTGTCTCTCTGTCTGGCCTGTTTGTTAGCGTGTTGTCTCTCTGTCTGACCTGTTTGTTAGCGTGTTGCCTCTCTGTCTCGCATGTTAGTTAGCGTGTTGCCTCTCTGTCTGGCCTGTTTGTTAGCGTGTTGCCTCTCTGTCTCGCCTGTTTCGTAGCGTGTTGCCTCTCTGTCTGGCCTGTTTGTTAGCGTGTTGCCTCTCTGTCTCGCATGTTTGTTAGCGTGTTGATTCTCTGTCTCACCTGTTTCTTAGCATGTTGTCCTCTCCTCCTTTGTGTTCCAGTTGAACTTGTGGTCGAGTGAAGTGTGTCGGTTCGTTTCATCCTCACTCCTCCATCGTCCTCACCGTCCAGCTCTTCATCCCAGTCTGGATCCCTCTCCTCTCCTCCTCCATCTCCTCCTCCTCCATCCTCCTCTCCTCCCTCCTCCTCTTCCTCACCCTCACCTCCTCCCTCCTCCCCATCTACTGCGTTGGTGTACCCATTACGACCAGCACCTGACAGACAGACAGAGAAGATGCAATTACTCTCAATGTAGAGCTTCTAAATATATTTAATATTTTCTGAAACGTGTTTGTTGTACTCACATTAAGTGAATATAGTTGAAGGAGAACTGACTGACTAAAACTAACTGTATACAAAGTAGTTAAAAATAGCTAACGTTATATAAGGCTAAAGTATTAAAACTAACTGTTTATAAAGTAGTTAGAAATAGCTAACTTCATGTAACATTAAAGTAGTAAAACTAACAGTTTATAAAGTAGTTAAAACTAACTAACTTTATATAAGGTTAAAGTATTAAAACTAACAGTTTATAAAGTAGTTAGAAATAGCTAACCTTATATAAGGTTAAAGTAATAAAACTAACTGTTTATAAAGTAGTTAAAACTAACTAACTTCATATAGTGTTAAAGTAGTAAAACTAAATGTATATAAAGTAGTTAAAACTAACTAACTTCATATAGCGTTAAAGTAGTAAAACTAACTGTATACAAAGTAGTTAAAAATAGCTAACATTATATAAGGTTAAAGTATTAAAACTAACTGTTTATAAAGTTGTTAGAAATAGCTAACTTCATGTAAGGTTAAAGTAGTAAAACTAACTGTATATAAAGTAGTTAAAACTAACTAACTTCATATAACGTTAAAGAAGTAAAACTAACTGTTTATAAAGTTGTTAGAAATAGCTAACTTTATATAACGTTAAAGTAGTAAAAACTAACTGTGTATAAAGTTGTTGGAAATAGTTAACTTTATATCAGGTTAAAGTAGTAAAACTAACTGTATATAAAGTAGTTATAAATAGCTAACTTTATATAAGGTTAAAGTAGTAAAACTAACTGTATATAAAGTAGTTAGAAATAGCTAATTTTATATAAGGTTAAAGTAGTAAAACTAACTGTATATAAAGTTATTAGAAATAGCTAACCTTATATAAGGTTAAAGTAGTAAAACTAACTGTATATAAAGTAGTTAAAACTAACTAACTTCATATAACCTTAAAGAAGTAAAACTATCTGTGTATAAAGTTGTTAGAAATAGCTAACTTTATATCAGGTTAAGTAGTAAAACTAACTGTATATAAAGTAGTTAAAACTAACTAACTTCATATAGTGTTAAAGTAGTAAAACTAAATGTATATAAAGTAGTTAAAACTAACTAACTTCATATAGCGTTAAAGTAGTAAAACTAACTGTATACAAAGTAGTTAAAAATAGCTAACATTATATAAGGTTAAAGTATTAAAACTAACTGTTTATAAAGTTGTTAGAAATAGCTAACTTCATGTAACATTAAAGTAGTAAAACTAAATGTTTATAAAGTAGTTAAAACTAACTAACTTCATATAACCTTAAAGAAGTAAAACTATCTGTGTATAAAGTTGTTAAAACTAACTAACTTCATGTAACGTTAAAGTAGTAAAAACTAACTGTGTATAAAGTTGTTGGAAATAGTTAACTTTATATCAGGTTAAAGTAGTAAAACTAACTGTATATAAAGTAGTTAAAACTAACTAACTTCATATAACCTTAAAGAAGTAAAACTATCTGTGTATAAAGTTGTTAGAAATAGCTAACTTTATATAAGGTTAAAGTAATAAAACTAACTGTATATAAAGTAGTTAAAACTAACTAACTTCATATAACGTTAAAGAAGTAAAACTAACTGTATATAAAGTAGTTAGAAATAGCTAACTTTATATAAGGTTAAAGTAGTAAAACTAACTGTATATAAAGTAGTTAGAAATAGCTAACTTTATATAAGGTTAAAGTAGTAAAACTAACTGTATATAAAGTTATTAGAAATAGCTAACTTTATATAAGGTTAAAGTAATAAAACTAACTGTATATAAAGTTATTAGAAATAGCTAACTTTATATAAGGTTAAAGTAGTAAAACTAACTGTATATAAAGTTATTAGAAATAGCTAACTTTATATCAGGTTAAAGTAGTAAAACTAACTGTATATAAAGTTGTTAAAACTAACTAACTTCATAAGGCCTTAAAGTAGTAAAACTAACTGTATATAAAGTTATTAGAAATAGCTAACTTTATATCAGGTTAAAGTAGTAAAACTAACTGTATATAAAGTAGTTAAAACTAACTAACTTCATATAACGTTAAAGAAGTAAAACTATCTGTGTATAAAGTTGTTAGAAATAGCTAACTTTATATCAGGTTAAAGTAGTAAAACTAACTGTATATAAAGTAGTTAAAACTAACTAACTTCATATAACATTAAAGAAGTAAAACTATCTGTGTATAAAGTTGTTAGAAATAGCTAACTTTATATCAGGTTAAAGTAGTAAAACTAACTGTATATAAAGTAGTTAAAACTAACTAACTTCATATAACCTTAAAGAAGTAAAACTATCTGTGTATAAAGTTGTTAGAAATAGCTAACTTTATATAAGGTTAAAGTAGTAAAACTAACTGTAAATAAAGTTATTAGAAATAGCTAACTTTATATAAGGTTAAAGTAGTAAAACTAACTGTATATAAAGTAGTTAAAACTAACTAACTTCATATAACCTTAAAGAAGTAAAACTATCTGTGTATAAAGTAGTTAGAAATAGCTAACTTTATATAAGGTTAAAGTAATAAACTAACTGTAAATAAAGTTATTAGAAATAGCTAACTTTATATAAGGTTAAAGTAGTAAAACTAACTGTATATAAAGTAGTTAAAACTAACTAACTTCATATAACGTTAAAGAAGTAAAACTAACTGTATATAAGTAGTTAGAAATAGCTAACTTTATATAAGGTTAAAGTAGTAAAACTAACTGTATATAAAGTTATTAGAAATAGCTAACTTTATATAAGGTTAAAGTAGTAAAACTAACTGTATATAAAGTAGTTAGAAATAGCTAACTTTATATAAGGTTAAAGTAGTAAAATTAACTGTATATAAAGTAGTTAGAAATAGCTAACTTTATATAAGGTTAAAGTAGTAAAATTAACTGTATATAAAGTAGTTAGAAATAGCTAACTTTAGATAACGTTAAAGTAGTAAAGCTAGCTCCAACTGAAGCTGTTCCAACAGTAAAATACTGACGCTTCAGTATTAACAATCTAGAATCAAGAATCAGTCACAGGAGACATTTTACTGCACATCCAGGAGTTTTTCTACATAAATCTGAGAAGTACTCCAATCCTTTTCATAGTTAAACAGAAGTATTATTAAGTAAAGGATCAGAGTACTTCTTCCACCGCTGATCCCAGGATTTCCATCAAAGTGAAAGAGGAGAGGTGGAGGATGGAGAGAAAAGAGAGGAGGTGATATGGACTGAGAGAGGAAGAGGAGGAGAGATGTGACTGTTTCCAGAGGAAGTGAAAATATTGTAGTGAACAGCTGTGACCTAGATCTGTGTGTGTGTGTGTGTGTGTGTGTGTGTGTGTGTGTGTGTGTGTGTGTGTGTGTGATCTGGGCCGTGATTTATATGTTAGTACCTGAGGACCCTGAACACACACAGATAAACCCAGTGATGACAGCACAGGGAGATTATGTGACTCTCTTTCCCCTCTCTCTCTCTCTCTCTCTCTCTCTCTCTCTCTCTCCCCTCTCTCCGTCTCTCTCTCCCCTCTCTCCCCTCTCTCCCTCTCTCCCCTCTCTCCATCTCTCTCTCCCCTCTCTCCATCTCTCTCTCCCCTCTCTCCGTCTCTCTCTCCCCTCTCTCCCTCTCTCCCTCTCTCCCTCTCTCCATCTCTCTCTTCCCTCTCTCTCTCTCTCTCTCTCTCTCTCCCCCCTCTCCATCTCTCTCTTCCCTCTCCGTCTCTCTCTTCCCTCTCCCTCTCTCCCTCTCTCCATCTCTCTCTCCCTCTCTCCCTCTCTCCCCTCTCTCCGTCTCTCTCTCCCTCTCCCTCTCTCCTCTCTCTCCGTCTCTCTCTCCCTCTCTCTCTCTCTCCCTCTCTCCCCTCTCTCCGTCTCTCTCTCCCCTCTCTCTGTCTCTCTCTCCCTCTCTCCCTCTCTCCCTCTCTCCATCTCTCTCTCCTCTCTCCCTCTCTCCCCTCTCTCTCTCTCTCCCTCTCTCCCTCTCTCCCCTCTCTCTGTCTCTCTCTCCCTCTCTCCCTCTCTCCCCTCTCTCCGTCTCTCTCTCCCTCTCTCCCTCTCTCCCCTCTCTCCGTCTCTCTCTCCCTCTCTCCCCTCTCTCCGTCTCTCTCTCCCTCTCTCCCTCTCCCCTCTCTCCGTCTCTCTCTCCCTCTCTCCCTCTCTCCCCTCTCTCTGTCTCTCTCTCCCTCTCTCCCTCTCTCCCCTCTCTCCGTCTCTCTCTCCCTCTCTCCCTCTCTCCCCTCTCTCCGTCTCTCTCTCCCCTCTCTCTCTCTCTCCATCTCTCTCTCCCTCTCTCCCTCTCTCCCCTCTCTCCGTCTCTCTCTCCCTCTCTCCCTCTCTCCCCTCTCTCCGTCTCTCTCTCCCTCTCTCCCTCTCTCCCCTCTCTCTCTCTCTCTCCCTCTCTCCCTCTCTCCCCTCTCTCCGTCTCTCTCTCCCTCTCTCCCTCTCTCCCCTCTCTCCGTCTCTCTCTCCCTCTCTCTCTCTCTCTCCATCTCTCTCTCCCTCTCTCCCTCTCTCCCCTCTCTCCGTCTCTCTCTCCCTCTCTCCACACCTTTGTTTAGTGATTTCCTAGATTTCCTGTTTCCCAGGTGGTCAGTAAGCGCAGAGCTGCAGATACGTTCAGTCAGTAGGAAACAAGGCCTTCATGGATTAGTGACAGATTTACATCACACGGCCATTTTGACTTTTCATCGCATGAAAAATGCAGCGTAACCAATGACACTAAGCATCGCTGTCCGTCAGCCAATGAGAGAGACTGAAGTATAAAAGTCGTTTACAGGTGGAGTTTTCTTGAAACTTTCTGTTTACATTTAGTGTTTTTCACTAAAACACCAACAAACATTTCCTTATTATGAAATAGTTGATCAGTCGTCACCCTGCCATCACAGAAGATTTACACAACAAGTAGCCTGAGTTTTGCCTCTCAGGCCCCGCCCACACTACTG